ACAATGCGGAGGCCAGTAACCGCCGGCAAGGCCACCAAGAGGATTATGACAGATACAGGGGTTTAGGGGTTAGGGGTTTAGGGGTTTAGGGGTTTAGGGGTTTAGGGTTTAGGGTTTAGGGTTTTTTAGGGGTCTAGGGTTTAGGGGTTTAGGGTTTAGGGGTTTAGGGTTTAGGGTTTAGGGTTTGGGGGTCTAGGGGTTTAGGTTTAGGGTTTAGGGGCTTGAGCAATCAGCGGAATTCGCAGTATTTTCCGAGGGTCCTTGAGTATACTTCGACTATGATATACCACAAGGCAAGATTCTAGCTGTTAAGATGCGCAGGTCAAAGGCTAAACCTAAACGGCTTGGGAACTCGGCTCACGGTTCCATGCATGGTTCTTCCCCTACGTGCTTCTGTGATTATGGTGTCTCGAGCCCCATGCCTACCTGGAAACGCACACCTACCCAGAAGTTCAACACCCGAAACCCCCACACCCTTGTAGGATCGTTGCATTTACTTGAGAAAGGCATCAATTCAAGCCTTGGCTTAGGAGTCTTAGCTTGGGGCTTCATTGATTTTCTTTTTGGTTCGGCTTTGGACTTAGGTTCTGAGATTTGAGGTTCAGGGCTTTAGGGTTTAGAGCCTCGGATTCCCTACACCCTAAACCACACCCTAAACCCTAAACCCTCAATCCTAAACCCTAAACCCTAAGGCCTCGGTTTCTGACTTTTGCTTTTGAGCGCGGGGCGAGGTTGAGGTCCTTAAACCCTGAACTCTAAGCTCTGAAACCCCTAGAAAGGTTTGGGCTCAGGGTTTAGGGTTAAGGGTTTCCAACACCCTAAACCCTGAACCCTAAACCCTGAACCCTAAAATCCAACCCAACGCAATGTCTCCAATGAGGCCGAGCTCGCGGACCAGTACGGCGTCTATGGCTTCATGATCTACCACTACTGGCCGCTCGGTGTAGGGTTTAGGGTTCAGGGTCTTTGGGGCTTTCGGAGATTCAACTTGAGGGTTTAGGGTTTAGGGTTTAGGGTTTAGGGTTTAGGGTTTAGGGTTTAGGGTTTAGGGTTTGGGGTTTAGGGTTTAGGGTTTAGGGCACTGGCAGCTCGATTTGAGGCTCAATCCCGAAACCCTGAACCCCCAAGCAGCAGGGCAGGGCAGGCAGGGCAGGTCATGACTCGGCTCACCCCAGAAACACAAGAGTGGGGTGACGGGCGGGTTTAGGGTTTAGGTATAAGTACCCTAAATAGAGTCACCCCAACTGTATCCCTAGCTATAACCGACTTGCTAGGTCCCCTGAACCTCCAGGTCGTCTTACCAGGCCCCCGAGGATTGCTTGCGAAACAGAGACTTCAATAAGAGGGGGTGTGGGTTTAGGGTTTAGGGTTTAGGGGTTAGGGGTTAGGGGTTTAGGGTTTAGGGTTTAGGGTTTAGGGTTTAAGATTTTCAGGATTTTGCTGTTTATGGGATCTACGGGTTTGGGGTTTAGGCGGTGGGCTTTTGGAGGTTTAGGGCTTAGGGTGATTCGCATCTGTATGTTGATTGTAGCTAGTGTACACGTACAGCATCCATCCGTCCATCCGTCCCTCCATGCATGTATATACAAACGATGTACATATACAACACATTTTTAGTTTTAGGGTCAATGATGGAGCTCAGGCTTTATAGGAAACATACATTCCTACATGCATAGGGTCATCCGTACACATCGTCGGTACATGCTTGGTTCGGGACTCATGACATGAAATGCAGATAGGCATTTGGGGGTTTAGGGTTCAGGGTTTAGGGTTGAGTGCGCAATAGCTAGGGGGCCTTGATCAAGCAGTGCCTTAGCCCTGGACCCCTCTACGTCTCTCTTTCTTGCTCTTATGAGGGTATGGGGGTCGTAGGTTAAGCATCCTTCTAAATGCACGACGGCTGTACATCCATGATGTTGTGATGTATCAGGTAAGCCTGTGTTGGGTAGGGTCAAGAGTTTCAAAGGAAGCCACAGCCTCACGAAAATAAACAAGATACCTTGGAGATTTCAAATCGATGGGCTGTCCAGGAAGCACAAGCCTCGCTTTGGAAGACCTGTAGAGCTGTTCGCCAAAACGCGGGGAGTTGTGTGGAATCAGACTGGTAAAATCGAGCCCGTGCCCTCTCTGGTAGTGGTGGACGACTGTAAAGCTGGTATCTTCGGGAATTCACTAAGAGGGTGCAATCGGCTGCCGCAGAAGAATCTGCGGATGCACTGGGGCCTCACCGAAAACGAAGATCCCTAGCCGCTTGAAAGCCTTCAATGAGAAGCATATAGGGAAGAACGAAAACCGCGGAGTCTCAGCAAGCCTCTTCAGACTTAGAAAGGGGATGTCGTCAAGACTCAAGACGCATAGAGTGAGTCAATTTACGGGGCTGGGCGGGGCATGTGGGCGGGGCGTGTGGGCGGGAGAGCCCAACAGAAACATAAGAACCCCGCAGTGACACGGGGAACAACACCAACCCGAGGCCCACATCACATCCGAAATGAACCCTACATCATAAGCTCGAAACTTGACTCGAAACGGTATTCCGTTCTTTCCGGGTACTTCCTACACCATCAACCCAGGTTCAATGGTCAGAACGTCAAGAACTCCAGTGCCCCTGAGCTGCCAGGGCACAGACCGACACAGGCATACATTGACATGCCCACATACGTACCGACGTGCAGTAATGCATACATACATACATACATACATACATACATACGTACATACGTACATACGCACGTAGCTGCATAGCGAGCTTCTGGGTGCACACACATATGTACATATATGTATATGTACATGTGTATATATATATATATATATATATGTGCGTGTGTGTGTGTGTGTGTGAATTGTCGCATGGTCGTCTGTAGATGCACCGCAATACGGAACAAAATGTCGTGCATTTGCCTACATGTGTATGCATACATACATAAGTGTTCTAAGCTATACACATGTGTTTGCTTCGGAGGTATTTGGTTCGGACGAACTTCAGCAGAAAGGTTTGCGAATACAGGAAAGGCTCATCAGGAATCTGATTAGGACATGCCTGCATGGTCCTTATTGGACTACGACTTTGGATCTCGTCCTTTCGGGATGCAGTCCGGGTTTTCTTGGCCCAATACAGCTCCATATATGATAGGGTTTAGGGTTTAGGGTTTAGGGTTTAGGGTTTAGGGTTTAGGGTTTAGGGTTTATGGTTTAGGGTTTAGGGTTTGGGATTTTGAGGGGTTATGCTTTCGTGAGGTCCAAACAAGGCGCTGCCACGTCATGTGGAAGATAACAGATAGCCCGAACACCACAAACCCTGACCCAAAACTCCATCAGGTCAAGCGGAAGATAGAGCCATAAATCCGAGGCCCTAAGCCCTAAACCCTAAAGCCTAAACGGCTATTATCAGGCCTTGTGGAAGATTTCCCTAAACCCAGACCCTAAACCTAACGTACAAATAAGGTCATGTGGAAGACCTCCCCAAACTCACAACGCTAAGCCCTAAGACCCAAACCGTAAACCCTAAACTGGAAGCATGCATAACAGGTTATGTGGAAGATTCCCCACTTGATGTTGCAAGACGGCCAGCCCGACAAGCCTTTCTTCTTCTCCTGGGCCAACAGGTGCCAGCGTTTCTGTAAACGGTTTGGGGCTTAGGGCTTCAAGTTCAGGGCTTAAGAAGTATACTTACCTTGAGTCATTATTGAAAAATAGGGTGGTTAGAATTCCTACTTAAGGATCATTGGAGTCTCTGCATAATTATAAGGTTGGTTGCTATACTGGTTCCGGCAAGGGTGACGATGCGTGTTGCAACCGGCGGTCACTATAAGGGCAAAGTAAGCAAGGAAGTAAGGCAGTAAGTACGTACGTATGTATGTGCGTATCTTGTATGTATGCATGCATGTATGCATGCGCCTATACATGCCATCATTCCCACAGCCATACATGCCCAGTTCGTTGCATGAAATGTATGATGCCGGTCAACAAGGCTGCGCATGTAGAGGCCAAACAGACACGTGTACACTCATATGTCGACAGATCATGTGTAGCAGCAAACTCGATCTCACGCTCACCCTCACCGGGTGACCCTGACTCTGACTGTGAGTCTCACTCTCACTCCACTGACTCTCTCTCTCTCTCTCTCTCTCTCTCTCTCTCTCTTTCTTTCTCTTTGACAAACACGCGTGCACACAAAGACACCTACAGAATTCTCTACAAAATAACACGCAGATCAACAGTTCAACAAATACATACATAAGCATGTATGCAACAGCGGCAGCGTTATATACAACTAACTAAGCAAAAAGTTAACTAAAGAATATGTATATATATATATATATACATGAGGGCCCGAATTGCCCCCGACAGCTGGGGGAAGATCGCAGAGCCCCAGAACCGCAGCCATGGCCCCAGCGGGTAGGCGGTTCGTCAAACAACGGCTGCCAAATAGAGATGGCAACGATTATGACACTGGCTTCCACAAGCGTCCTGGCCCCGCTCCACTGCTGCAGATGAATGCTGACAGATGGACGAAAATCGTGATCTTACTGCGCTGCTGGCTTCTCGGCGGCACAGTGGATCCCCATCCAATGGTCGATGAGCTCATGTCCATGGGGCTCTACCAGCAAGACACCAGGGCCCGATTCCTGGATTCCTTCACGGTGCTACTCGGATGCAAGACTTTAGTGGACGAAAATCCACCGTGGGAACGTTGGATGAGATCGAGCTCGAGGTGCTACCAGACCAGAAGCCACCATCAGCGATGTTGACATCATCACACCCGGTGCCAACAGACTCGCGCTACACAGGTGCTGGGAAGTACTATCGTGACATGCGGCATTATGAGTTCAAGATTGAAGGCACTATAACGTTGCTTACAAGACAAGCGAGCGCCTTAACATCTGGCCCCGCTGCCAGGAAGACCAGGTCCTGGAGTTCTGCCGTATGTTGACGGGTTTGTTGGGCGCTTCGCTTTCATCATTCGACTCAGACCTCACACGTGTTGGTGAGTATATACGCGGTCACTGTACGCAGCGACACGTCTGAGAGGGCACAGCGATGTTCAATTTTCCATTGTGAGGGACCTACC